ATCATTTTTTTCTTCAAAATAGCTAGTTCCTGTAAACCGAGCTAACGGGGAATGTCCTTAGAACTTTGGCTAAGGTTCTGGCACGGTTGTCTCAAAGTTACGAACAAACTTATTCCAGTAACTCTAACAGAATGTCCATTCAGAATTATCTGGGCTTTAATAACATAATCAAAACGTTAGCACAAAAACATCATTTATACATTACTCGTCAAACAATTTTTGAAACATTTGAGTGTTTTCCAAACGTTACTACTTGTTTCAGATGCTAAAGTTGAACATGCCCTTAATATTTAATCGAACATTGACATAACAAGGAAAACAGTTTTTAAACCTTTAAAAACTGGATGTTTCAAATGTTCTGCGAACATTCCGAAATTCATAACTTAATGGGAACATTTGCAAAAGGTTCTGGAACATATATTTGTTAGCTAGGAATCAAAGGGTGTGGCGCTTGCAACACCAAGGCCATGGGTTCGATCCCCAGCTATAGGGATCACACTTACTTCTGAAAGCATCAACTGCATGACTGTAACTGTAAAGGTGCAGTCACATTAGCGAAATTTCGTAGAAATTTTGCGGTCAAAAAAATCCATTGTCTATTGTCAACAGTGAACCAGGTGCGAAATCTGTTGAAGTCTGTTTCGCCCGCGAAAATCTTCTGATAATCGGTAAACGTGACAGCAGCAGAGGTGGTGGGCAGAGGGCTCGGTAACTCCCCGGGCCTACCGTCCCGCAGGAACGGGAATGACAGCGACAGCGGCGCCGAGCGCGGAGACGGGTCCGGTTCCGCCATGGACACGGGCACCGGGTGCGATGAGAAGATTTGGGTCAGTTTGCTCTCTGAACTGTTTTTTATTTGCAATGGAGCGACGTGCAGTGAAACAGCTTCTGCACTGACATTTAGTCTGTGCTGCACAAAGCCACTCTCTCTCTCTCTCTCTGTGTGTAAGAGAGTTTACATTCAAGACCTGGTTCCTCATGCACAAAAGCCTGCATTGTCTTCAAAGAGGCCTTCTGAGATCAGACTGAACTGTGCATCACTTGTGCTGACCGATCGTACGTCAAATGTATATTTAACATTACATTAATAGGATGGCCTACTACTACCCCTGATAGCACACGTACATCACGGAGACGTCTATTTGATGTCTGCATCTTCATCTGCAAGACGTATGATCGCTTCATCTGGAAAGCATCTGCTGTCTGATAGGAAACGTCCTGAGGACGTATTACAGATGAGCAAACACTCTAAAAAAAATACGGTGTAAGATGTTAGTAAATAGACGTCTCTGTAATGTGCAATAGTCTATAGGACGTTTCCTATCAGATGTCAAATAGACGTTTAAAAGATGTCTTTAAGATGTTTAAGATTCAGAATTAATGTAAAACTGACATCTATCAGATGTTTGTACACAGCAGATCTTTAACAGATGTCTTGCAGAGGTACCTGTGCTATCTGCTAGGCTATTTGTAATATTCTGTAGTATGTTATTGTGTGCACTGCAGTAACATATGGGAGATATGATATCCCACAATGCAGTGCGCCTTATATTTATATTGTTTACTTTATATTTCCAGCCACAAACAAACCGAAATAAAATATTAGCCATATTTTTTATTATTATTATTAACTCTATTTTGGATTAAAATAGCAAAGAAAATAGCATTCATTCTGAACAAGATCAGACCAAACTGTACACATCAGGTGTCCGAAATATATTTATCATTTCTAGGTTATGGTCTCTGTACGGATTGCGCGCGCAAATCTGGCCAAAGTTTTGTAACACGACCGGACATAAATAAAAGGTGGGCGACAGGATGGGATATCACGCCTAAAATAAACAAGCACTCAATTTAATCATTTTATGTCTGTTATTAGATCATATGCACGGTTATCTACAGATAAGATAGAACCGACGAGTCTGTTCACGTATCACCGAATCCCTACGATGATGCACTGAAGCCATTCAAACAAGTCTGTCCCGTGTCTTTTGAGATTCTGTAAACAGCTGTCAGCTCACAATACATGTATTTATAATTAATAGTTTAATATAAGTATGATTCTATAATACCCTTAAACTAAAATGCTTGGCACAAGGGTTATCATGTGGCGACAGCAATTCTGTTATTTAAAAAAAAAAAGACAGATTTTATAAATTAAAACCAATATTTCTGAAATTACACGTGCAAAGTAAGTTTTCATGTATATATATATATATATATATATATATATATATA